CGTGTCTGCTTATTGATGAAAAACATTGAATTATCAATTAATGCCGAGGTTAACAGAAAGTCGGTCATGGGAATTAAAAGCAGTTTATTGAAAACAGCTTCATATTGACAAGCTCACAGGTTAGAGATACTTAGCAGTATGCTTAAGGTAGACACGGCAGGAACAGAAAGAAGAGAGATTCGTGTGCACGACAGAATGAAAATAAGCTGCAGTATTAGTTTCTCTAGGTATATGCGAAGTGCCCTTGTTGTTCTATGAGTGGATTTCGCAGTTTTTCCATTATTTAGAAGGCGGTTAGGTGGCGGGAAACACCGTGGTAGCGATACAGTCCACTACTAGCATGCTACTGGTTTGACTTCGTCCTGTGCTTACCGAGCCTTATATCTCTCGGAGTTTGAAAATTGGTACTAGACTTATCTTGGCCCACTCACTCCATCAAATCCACATAGGAACGGTCTAGTGCAGCCATCCCAGGTGGGAGAGTCGAGCATTCAACGACATTCATGAAGAAGACAACAATCCTTAAGCATCAGGCGAGCCCACACCCATAGAGCTCAAAGTCTTTCATGGATAATGGGGACGAGGATACCAAGGGAATGCAAGAGGTGTTTGAGTTCACACTGTATATGTCAAGGTGAGTCGTTTAGAATAGACTGGAACATAAGAAATACAACTAAGATGAAGCTGAGATATCTGCAAAACTCCGGGCCGCAGGTGTCTTTCGACTTCAAGATTGTGATTTCGTCTTCAGTCTCAGCTTAACTAGGTTCGTTGCCGATTTGGGCTCCCTAGGTCAGCCCCGTTGATGGGTGATTGCTGATGACGCCGATCAAGAGAACTAACTGAGAAGCAGGCGGAAGTCTCATATAGTGGTGGTGAACGCGTTGCTCCCCGGAAAAGACAATAGAGCGTTCGTTCCCCACCGCAGGCACCTGTGCGGTCCGGAGTTTTGTAAATATCTCAGCATCATCCTAGTTGTATTCCACATGATATCCTGCCGTTAAAAACTATGGTAGGCAGTAAATAAAAAGGTTAAGACTGGAACATGGTTTATATGAGATTATGTAATTCAGACTTTGTTTTGGTCATCATTAAATCTGGTCACACGTGTAAACAGAACATTTATTAACTGTTTTCTCTCATTCATAAGTTTATTTTTGAAGATTTCTAGGCGTTCATGTTACTATTGCTTTTGATCGCACTTGGTGAGTTCTTCTCATCACCGGCACTGGTACTGGCCGACGCAGCTACTTTGAACGCCACCAAAGATAATCCACAGGAGGTGAGACAGCTTGAAAATGCTTTCCAGAACCTCATAAAGTATTTCATCTCCTTAATAAGGGAGATTTTTGGTAGCAACTCTGTTTCAACTCTGTTTGTTAGCAATTCATGAATGTTCTTCATTCCTACAAAATTTTCTTTCGAGAAAAAGATCTTCAAAAATAACTATAGCGCTTTTTAGTGAGAAACCTAAAATGTGTTAACTGATTTCATCTAAAATTCTTCTCATTTCCACAACAGGTGCTTCTATTTGATCATTTGACTTATAAACACACTTTTTGAGACTTAACTATTATAATCGCAACTATATTTATGCTAAAATACTTGCAAAACTCCGGAGCGCAGGTGTCTGCAGTGGGGAACGAACGCGCTATTGTCCTTTCTAAGGAGTAACGCGTTCACCACCACACCATACGAGTCCTTCGTTTCGCCTGTCTCTCAACTAGTTCTTTGCAAATATCGAAGCCACGTGTGTTTAAGGAGAGAAAAGGGAAGCGAAAAATTCATGGCATACCCTTCATTTTCAAAGTAAATCAGCATCATTTTGAAAACCTTAAACTTAACGAAGACTGGTTGCCTTGTCGCATGCGTTCTCCAGGAATTCAAAAGTTTAGATGTGATTGCACCCGGCAATCTTTCCTGGTGGTCTAATTAAGCAACGGAAGCGTAGTCTGTATGATTTCGGATAATGTAGACAAGGCACTTAGAGAAATTTGACTCCTTAAGGTTACATTATAATAGACCACCACTTCCACAGTATATATTCCGCTGAATTATGGGTAGGAAATGAGGTTATAGTGGTACCAGTGCTCATTTCGCTTCCTAGACAACTGGAATTTTCTTTATGGAACGCGCGATCAGATAATGTCATATAAAATGGCTACACCTTTTCTATTAGTCACATTTTAACAGATACGCTGCAGTCTGTACAGGATTTCATCGATTTCGTACTGGAGTTCTCTGCTGTGGTCGTTTTATCAAGAATCATGTCGTTTTATGGATCACTCTATATCGTCAAGGCAAAAGCAGTCATCGTAGGCATGTTTCGTACTCCAAATTTGGCACTGTAAAGCGTCATGGTGCCTCATTCCGTTCCAATCTCGCTTCTGAACGTCATTTGTTGCCCTATTGCATCCTATTTCCTTGCATGGCAAAGAATTGTACTAATTCTCTATCCATTTCTTTATATGATCTTGTAAACTGATCTTCTTTAGCTGATGCGAGGTTGGTATAGGTCTTCGTTGTCGTTGTCGTTGTTGTTGGTGTCCCACTCGTAACATCACGGCTCTGAGGAAGGCGAAATCGCCGAAACGTCAGCCAACAACACCGAAAACAACGACAGAGGCAACGAAAACTTATAACAATCTCGCATCAGCTAAACAAGATTAGTTTATAAGATCATATAAATAAATATATCAACTATCTATGCCGAGGTTTATGGAAAGTCGGTCTTTTGAATTCTATATTTGTTGTTATTGGATGCCATTGTTACGGCTTCGGCCTACGTCTTCCAGTGATGAACGTACCCATAGACGACCCTCCAAAGCGGCCGTCGATTTAGGTTCCATAATTCGAATCGGTTGGGATTGATTGGCGACCTGAAGCCACAAAGAGAAATTGGTCAAGCAAAAACACTAACTCTGTATTGCGAACCGGTTAGATCAATACGTCACTTGTATTCTTGGTGAGCTGACACGAGTTCATATGAATACAACCACTGTTTCTGAAGAAGAAAATCTAACCGTTCTCGTAGTGACACGTAGTCATTGAAATCTGTTGTTGAGTGTTCAGGTTATCCCAGGTAATTTTGCAGCTGTTGCACGAAGAGCTGCAGGTGAACGAGAATGGAACATCTCATCCGTAGAAAAAACCAAGCCAACTGACATCTTCGAAACACTTTCATGGAGGATATTGCCAAAGTATTGCCGTTTAGCACGTTCAGCTAACAGCCTGAATGTTGGGTATATCTTTTCAGCTTCCTAAAAGTAGCAGCAACAATAATACACAACATCCCAGCTCAAAATGCTCGTTCATTTTCGATTAACACAACGTATTCAGATCTGATTCTGGCCCTAATGTTAGTATTGATGTCTTAGTGCGAATTGGACTTATTCGTTCTCCCAACTAGTTTTGTTAAGAAGTAGGGCGTGGATATTCGGAAGGAGCGTTCTTTCAGCGTTCGTCACCACTGACAACAGTTTCTTGAGATCGTCATCGTTGAGAATTCGAGATGAGAACTGTTGATGTGAGTCTTCCTGTTGCAACAAGTGGCATTGGCATTGCCACATTCATTCATTATGAGTTTCATTGATTCTGTTAAGTCCAGTTTCTCTTACGTCTCATTTTCGAGCTTTCACCGAACCATTCCGACGGTCTCGTCATGGACATGCAGCAATCATTGCCAGGTACCTAATGCCCTAACCCTTGCTGTTTCCTTTATTCCTCAGACATTTTTCTTGCAACATTTCAACTACTAACGGTGAGATAGCTCCAAAATAGTTTTCGAGACTTGTTAAAGAACGCCGACTCTTGTTTATGCTATTCTCAGAAACCACAACGGAGTCGAAGTGTCAACTTTACTGGTCGATCTGCGTTATGAAGCTGTCCGACGGCTTCATTCGGCGGATTTCATGAAACTTTAGCCCTATAGACGAAACCCACTGATGTCTAAACTAGTACTGTCTCTATGCAATCGGAATATTCCACGTTTATCAAATCCTGACACGAATCCATTAAGCTGCGGCTGAAAAATCTCATTTTAGGTGAACCCAATGAATACGGATCCGCCGTAGATGTCGAAGACTACAATGAGAATCACCTAGCTCCATACATATCAGGCAGTCCAATTTCTCAAGTGTTAGAAAACATGATAAACCGAAATGTTCACCAGTACCGTTGAGGATGAAACTCCCACATCAATTGAACCACTTGGATGTATCGTATCGTTATCCGTGTTCTGTAATCAAATTCGCCCATCTTTTCGGCTGAAAGCAATGTTGTGCTGTGGTTCACGGATTTGGTAGGCGAGTTATCTGTGTTCTTCACGTCGCTTCATTTCGATGATCTGGCCGGTTTAATCTCATTCTGTCTCATAATCATGGTCACCAATAGAGCGTTCAGTAATTTAGGGCTCATGTTCAACTTCATCTGCTAGAGTCACCTGCTAGAATACCGTTTGTTCTTCGATTATTCCCGGTATTATCGACAAACGATGATATACAATTTAATAAGTGGAAGCATATCCACTCATTCATCCACTTTTTCTTTGATAAATCATTTGATAAAGCAATTATCTTATGTGAACAACTTCACCAAGAGGCTGGGATGACAATGTAACAAACCACAGAAAACAGTAAATTCCCTATCACGGATGTAGTAGCGTAGAGAAGCATAGGATATATTCTTCTTGATAATCATTCTAAAAGGGTGGTAGTGATACCGTTCAGCACGAGCACGATTCTGGTCGGACACCGATTTAGGCTGATAAGCTCTTCCTCTTTCCGGGGTCAAGAAATCTGTGCCAGACATGTCTGGGCCGAACTTACTCGTAAAAATCAACGCAGCAGCGTTCTAGCATAGCCTATGTCATGACTCGTGGGAAAATCGACTTGACCAGCTTCCAACGACGTTTCTAAAGAAAGCAAAAATCCTTAAGGAGTTGAACCCACACGTGGAAAGTTCAAAGGTCTTAGCGGATGATGGATGCGACAAAAAGAATTGAATGCAATAAATGCCGGGATCACCGACCACTTAATGAACTTAATACTAATCTGATAACTGATCGTATACTACTTCATGCCTCCCTTTCAGTGAAGAAAGCTATTTCTGCAAAAGGTTAGTCACAACAAAAACTCTACCTCACTCAGTCGAGAAAAGTACATATAAGTAAAGGCAAGTTTAAGCATTGTTAGTCTACGGAATTCATTAATATTATTACCCTATATGACATGTGCGTATTGATGAGGAGAACATTATAGTTTTTAATGGTTAACACAATAAAGCTACAATTATTTTTGTATAAATAGAAATAATGTGGAATCATAAACACCTTTCTATCTTGCCAAGCTATAGAGCTCTTCGGATATAAATCCGGAATCCCAGCTTGTACCTGTAAAGTTCTATATCTCAACTCGAAATAACCTTTATAATCTAAATAAAATTCATTAGAATCTGCACAATTTTTCAAATGGAAGCAAGTTTGTTTACTCCGCCCGGTTGCTTGAAATCGTGGAATCCTGAAGTTGTTGAAGGTAGCTTTGGACTTGGCTTAGTTTGTGAACCATTTTGTCGCCTAGGAATTTGTAGAGATGCGTAAAGAACTTCTAGAGGGTAGATGAAAGGTCCGCCTAATATTGTGGATGGGGCAGAGTTTCGTATCATTGCTCGCTCAACCTTTACTACATCGGTAGTGCGACTTGTGGCCAATTCGTTCAACATCCGTTTGTCGACTTTTTCGACATCACGTTCTTATTGAGATATTCTCTCTACAAGTTCTGGAACGGTTGTCCATGTGTTTTACTTCAACAGTCCAAAGCCATCAAATCGTTGTCATTAGTAGCAGAAGGACCTCGGCGAGCTGCCTCATGTTTAAAGCTTAATTAGCCACAATAGAATTCTCCAAACAAGCATTGCAGTGTGTGTTCGTTAACAATTCCTTGGTCTCATTAATATTTGGAGCCGGTTGCACTATGTACGTTTGAGTTTGGATTCGTAGATTTGATGAAATACTGTTTTGTTATTACATATCGTGACCTTTAAAAATTTATTAGGAACACAATTTTTACTGTACTACAGTCGTGCGGACCGAAGATGCATAAAGTAAGCCTTGCATTGACGTGCATGAGTGCAGCATTCGAAAAGAAATTGTTGTTAAAACATGTACAAGAGAAATAAAATCACAAGTCGTGCATTAATTTGAAAGGAGAAAGGTTTTGGGCAATCCGATAACATTTGATCTGATCGATTCGTATTGAATACGTTAAGTCGGCATAAGTAGTTACTGCTTTCAGTTTGGAAAGATTCGCTTGTTCGCGTCCGTCGGTTGGGGTCTGGCCATGTTCGTGATGGGAGTTGGTGAGTATGTTCACATTTCTATCAATCGCCAATAAATTCTCGAGTCATTTTTCGCTTAGCTAACCCCAATTTACCTCTCCTTTCATTGGTAAGTCTATGATTTACTATGAAAAATATTCTCTCTGAGATTAATGGTAAGTCTAGAATGGAATTATAAAGAAGTATGAAAGCAGCCGAAAACAGAATGGAAGGGGAATCCGAATTTTTTGACTGAAGAACTGAACGGTGTTCAGAAGAACATTTAAATCCTTATATATACATTTGTAGTCTTCGTTCAGAACGTTACGTTTTATACGATACCTTTTTGGTATCATTCAGACACTATTTCCAAGAATGAGGTCCCTGTGTTGTGCCCTTAGGTGAATCCCATCTTCCGGAAAAGTGGCTTCGTGAAGAGGCCTACTGTGGACAGGAGTGCAACAAGACGGTCCTGTTCTCAGTTTATTCTCTTATTCCGAACTTTTCGACCGTGAATTCACTGTCATTAGCCGTACCTAATGTGACATTGAAGCTTCGGACATTAAGTTTGTAGAACGAGTTATCTTTGCTTATAACTTTCTCCAGTTGCAAATAGAAACTAGAAAAATGCATTTGCAAATTGTGTGCTCAACTATTTTCTATCGAACAAGGGAAGGACATTCCTCATTTACTTATGAAATCGAAGAAACATTGATTAAGCCCTAAAATTTCACGGTGTGTATAATCTTAAACTCAACTAACAACTTTCTCGTATTAACCTTGCTTGCACCTACGCATTCCGCATCCAGTCTTCGCATATCCAAGACCTAGCCGCTGAAAAACTGTAAATGAAATCTGTGTCTGGCTTCAGGTCTTGACTATTCGGACACATTCCGCAATCATCCGTGTCCTACCACGAATACCACCGAGAAAAACTACACACTATGTTTTGTGATGTGCAGTATCTTCATGTGTGCAGCGATGCTTTTGGGTGGGTTAAATTTCCTGTATTATCTAAGAAGTGGTGGTGTTCACCTGTTATTTCAAATCTGGAGCTTCTTTTTTTAGGCCAAATTTTGCTTTGTCTGTGGAATTGACAAAAAAAAACTTAGCATTTATCTCTCTGAGATCGCTTTTGCTGCGAGTGCCGACTTAATGGGTGTAGCAGGACGTTTTCTCAATTTCACATAGTCAATATAATTCGATTCGCTAATATTACCAGTCTTCGATGTGATCGAATCGATGAAGGGTTCATCTCTACTGGGCAGGCGTCTTACCTGTGCGCATTTGTGTGTGATATGTGTGATAAGAAGCTCTCATCTCATGAGCTACACCGCGAATGACAAACAACTTTCTTTCGAACAGTTGACTAGTTGAAAACTTTAATTCTAAATACCTACGAACAAAGTACTGCAATATGAATTGTTTTTTTTCATATCGAAGAAGTTCATACGTTAACAGGATGACAGTTTTATAGGTGAGCAATATTTAGCCCATAACAAAATATGCTCAAAATGTCGGGAAAGAAATCTGAGGTTTCAACTGGCTATACAGTGATGCTGGTGAAACTGAATGTAACGGGAATGATAAGGTTGACTAGTTGGCTAAAACAGAAATGTATGACCTTCTCCGAGAGCTAACGCGTTCTCCACCACGTCATGCGTGTCCTTCGTTTCACATTTCTCTCAGCCGTGTTTTATAGGCGCTATCAGCAATCAGCACTCAACGGGATCGAAATAGGAAAGGATAAAAACGAGGTTCGATCCCCGCCGCAGGCACCTGCGATCCGGAGTTTTGCAAGTATCTCAGTACTATTATAGTTGTACTTCGCATCATAGCCTGCAATGAAATAAGAATAGACACTAAATAAAGAGTGATTACAAAAAATATATTGCTTTCGAAACAATTTTGGCTTCGAACATACTTAGCTTAATAGCTCATCTCCACTGGTGGTGCGAACCCCAGCATAATTTCCTTTTATCTCCTGCGTAGTGGTCGTCCATGGTGGTGTTCTCCTTCGAACATGGCGGCGTCCGGTTCAGGTATTGTTTGAAAATGGGAAAACCCATTAGAAAGCAGAGGAATGTTGCACTCCAGTAGGAAAATTACTGCAGATAGCTTCAGTGTTATTGCTGATTTTTCTTTACTGTGCAACACCTAGTGTTGTCTGTTTAGCGACACAATTCAAATTCGATGACGAGACAGCACGTCCAGATGAGGTGGTTGGACTGGTGATGGACACCCGAGAGTCCGAAGTGTCGCACGTAGTCGCTGAGAAGGCTAGAGCAAGGCAAGTGCAGGTGAGTGTTTCTGGATGAACGTGAGTAAGAAGAAGTTGATTAAGAGTTAGCAACTTTCTAAAAGCATATGCAGTTCAGCAATTCTATTCAAGCTTCTTTTCTCCGTCTGTTAGACCAGATGCCCTTTAGGAAAGAGATCTCGCAAACTCGTGAGATGAAGGTTCCGTCTTTTTAATCCCAAGTTACTTAGACATCCTCACTTGATACTCATACTCTTGGGCTTTGAATACCGTGGACGTTTCGGTTGACTAGTTGTTGAATTAGAAATTCGTCTGAATCAAATCGAATAACCTCTGCACTCGTTGTTCCTTCTCTTTGTCCGGATTGCTCGAAGGTATGTATTAGTACGTATTCTTTTCCACTGTTTATTTTGCCACACAGAGTTCAGTTGTAAAACTTCTTATATTCAATCGATAGCTTATCCAACAGATAATTGGCTAGATGTCGACCTTGAAAAGGTATTCTATACACTAAATAGTTAACAAAAAGTGTTTCTGGACAAATTTTCCAATGAGCCCTACGCACGGCTAAAAATATGAAGTAGGTCCGAGCGGCCACCTTCAGTCGCAGATATGTTATAAAAGTCTCTAAGCCTGCGTATGCTCATATTACGTTATATAAAACTCAGCATTGCCATTTATGGTTTTCAGGCTTTACTCAACTTTTTCATGTGTTTTAGGCAGATGCTGCATCTGAGAGTTCGGTCTGGATCGCTGCTAAGGCACTGGCCAATACCCACATCCTCATTTACTTGACTTCAGTTACCATAATGGGATTCGGTGCTGGTATTATCTTCTCGTTCTTGTACTGGCACTTACAAGTAAGAGTGCTTTTGAGAATTTCAATAAATATCAATTTTTTGCCATATCTTAACGTAAAATATCCTTTATCCTTTATTTTAACATAAAATAAGGTCGCGGCGTTGATCAATCCTTTAGGGATGCTCCATGCATTCAACTTCATTTGGAGGTGATTGAATGCAAATCCACCCTTTATAGTGACTCGCGGTGGTCTACCGATGTATTCAGCCAGTGCTGCTATCCTCCGAGAGAAATCTGGTACCAATTTGCCGACCCCGGAGGGATGGAAGGCTTGTTGAGCCAAGGGCGCTGGAATCGAACCCATGTGTATTGCAGGGCGCCCCTGACCACTGCACCACGCACGCCCATCGTATATCTTAACATATCATCGTATTATCTTTACATTTCAGTTAACATTTCTTCACTACAGTCACTTTCGGAATGCTCGTGAAGAAGCTTTATTCGTTTTCTTTTCCAGGATATTGGAGGTTCACCAGTACTTTTCGGCATACTGTCGGTGGTCAACCACGCTTCTGAAATCGTCGCCTATTTCTTTACGTTTCAAGTTATAAATAAATACGGTCATGTTAAGGTTCGTTCCGTTTTGTTCTTATTCACGTTGAGCCCTTCCAGCACCGCATCTCCGTCAATGAGTGTGCGATGTTATCAAGTCTGAAAGTGTGGCCTGAAGCAAGTCTTTTTTCAGTTCAGAACTTCTTAGTGTTTAAATCAATAGGAATGCTGTAAAAATTATGGTTCCCGAAGTAGAGTTTCGAAACATGTTCCATCCTTCATGTTTAGTCTCCTTGAGCACCTACGCTGGTGGAAAATTTTATCTCATTTAATAGATGGGTTAAGCTTTGAAAAGTCCTCGGATTTCAAATGGACATTTATAAAAGGGAATAATGAATATAGAATGCCTAGGAAGCGTTCTGACAAACTTATAAAGTAATGACTAAGGTTTTAACCAATAGCGATGAGAGGAAACGTTTGATCGTGAAGAACTTGGACACATTGGAGATTTTTCCAAGAATCGGTCATCGTTTGTTTACTCTCATTCATTAAAAAAGAGCCGTATGTTTTCAAATTTTCTATAAGTAGCTATGAGAGCAACATGTTAATGGAGCGATTAGATGTTTACTGTTCTGGAAATGCACTAATTCTTAGCTTATCTTCATGGAAACCCGCGCTTGCAGGTGATGTACATCTGTCTCGGTGTTAACGTGTGTCGTTTTGTGATTCTAAGCTGGTTGGACAATCCTTGGATGGTGGTTCCGTTGCAAGTATTGCAAGGTGAGTAGCGTGTGAACAACAAACAGTTGTCGAAGTAGTTACTCAAAAAAAGCCCAATTACAAAGAATAACAGTTATTTCAAAAACCCGCACTAGAGTACGTCACACGAGAAAGCAAGCGATTACTTCATTGTGAGTACCACTAAGGGTTTTAGCTATGTACTAAGGCATCACCTATTTAATCATAATAAAAGAAATTGTGAAGCCAAACGTACTCTTTCAATTCAATCCAGTTGGTCTCCTTCACTGATCAACTCGTCAAGAGTCATTGGTAACGGGACATCCTGAACGTGTCAGTAACATTAAAAAGTCTTTTTCTGCATAAATGAGCATCAGCAAAGTATCTATAGGTGGCAAGTCTTAGACAACTATGATATTAACTGATCTATGAGTAAATGGTAGAACGCCGGAACAAGCATTGAATAGAAGGAGTGAAGAACTGCTGGAGCTTTGCGGTTCTAGGTTTTGCACTGGCCACTGCCTGGGCTTCAGCGTCATCATACATTTCGTTGATCGCTCCACCACATATCAAATCATCAGCACAGTACATCATACAGTTACTCTACCACGGTGTAGGCAAAGGTGTTGGAAGTATCGTCAGTGGCACAGTTATTTCCGTTTTAGGTAACGAATACCTTTCATTTTGTGTCCTCTTAACATTTAAAACGTAGATGAAATACAACGAAATACGTTGTATCTGTCAAAAATCTACCATCGAAAGTGAACTCTAGCCGAAGAAATCTGATATCTGATTATAGGAACTCGTCTGACCTTCTTGCTATATGCTCTACTTTGTGCAGTGATGTGCGGCGGAGGATACGGTCTGAACAAACTGTTCAAATATGAAGGCATTAAATACGGGACTGGAATGTTTGATGAGGACGAAATGGGCATTATGGGTAAGATTTTATCTGTACGTAGTATCATATTCCTCTATTTTACGCCATTTTTTTCTCTGGAGAAGCTTGGCGAGAACCATTAACCGACTACGGCTTATATGAAGGTAGAAAGTGAACCGAATCTCAACATCAGGGGCGAATTCTGACTATTAAGTGTCATATAACGAAACCTGGTCTGGAAACCGTAGCTTAAAGAAGATTAACACTCTCGAGATGACGCCTAATTTTTCGCTGCGTTCACTTTGACACCGTCTATAAGTGTCACACCAGCCATTTCGCCAATTTTGATTTAGCCCGTCCTTTATTTAGCCTCTCAAGTTAACGAATTGCTTATCCAAAATGATGCCGCACACGGTATGCATTGCTGCTTCTTCGAGACAAAGGCGTTTCCTGCCCTCTCCACTGGCTACGCTCTAGTGCGCGCACTCTCTTCAACAGCAACAGCCTTTCTTCGTAACAATGAGAAATTAAGGGAGAAATTATTAAAAAGACATCCATGATCGACACCCACCATAGGATCTGCGCTGGATAAACTATTGACTGATTACAGGAAGTATAGGAAAAAAAATAGGTGTCTCACCACCCTCTCCTGGAAAACTGTTATGACATTTAAAGGTATTACTCGCCGTGAATGTGTCATTAACAACTCAGTGTTCCTTCCCCAAAGGTTTGGGTTTACGTAAAGACAAAAATGAATTCTTTCAAACAATTGTGTCGATTTCCTAACCAATGGCCTTGAAAAACAATGAATGATAAAGTGTTTGGCTTTGTTCATTCTCGGAGGGATGTGCAATGCATTAGGCTTAGAGGTGTCGTTAGGTAGGGTGGATGTCGTCAAGCATCGTTAGAGCTGATTGAATGCATAGTTTACTTAAACAGTGACTTCTGCTGTTCTAGGGCTGTATCAAATAAATCTTGCTATCCTAGTAAGCAATTCTATACCAACTTACCGAACCCAGAAGAATGAAAAGGTTGGTGAGTCGGTTTGCATAGTCCAACCGACGAGAGGGTCCAGTATGTATTGTAGCTCACCCTCTAACGACAGCGCTCCATACGCCTAGACTTGGTCATACCTCGATCTATTTCATATTGTTTTTTTTCCTCTTGAGCTCTTATTTATGGACGAAACTATGGATATTTAAGCATATTTATGGACGAGATAATCTATTTCATTTCAGCACCCCAAGGTGTTCCTATGGCACGAGACGGGAAGATTACCGACGCCTTCAATACTACGACGGCGATCAATACTAATTATGGATCCATGATTGAAGATGATCCTACACAAGATGCCTACGATCGATACGTGAGCACTCACGAATGAATCGATTGGATGGATACGTACGTCGAGTGGAATTGGTCGATTTTCGTCATCTTCTAACTGGACAAGAGAGCTCGCTTATGATTAAAAAAACACTAGTTTACAGAGTACAGGAACGATAACGTCCACTTCTAGATTTTTGCTTGATTCATTTTCTTCCAATTTCCATGGATAGTCCTGTGAACACCAATCAATAATTCCATTCACTTGTACATTCTGCTCTTTTGTATATCGGTTGATACACGTACACATTTCTTATGCTTTTGCAATCTCTCGGTGCAATGGTGTTGAGTAATTCACCGCTAGGACATGATTTCCTAGAACATTTGTGAATTGTAGAGTCTCGTAGAATGTAGTAATTTATTGTTAGTACACGTTATGATCTCCCAATCGATAATGATATAAGATTTTGCAAGTGTATGTTAACACAATAAAGAAGAACTTCTTGTTACAGTATAGTAAAAGTTAAGAGGTTCATTAAATACTGTACTCAAACGTAGGCACCACACTTCTTGGCTTTCGTGAAGAACTAGAAAGATTATCCTGTTGCGGACATTCCGTGAAAACAACGCAACACCGTAGCGCACCATTCGCTAGTGATTCGCCGTTTGTATGTGTGTGCTTGTAAGTGATATATATATATATATATATATATATATATATATATATATATAAAGTCCTCCTAATGGTTTACATCGTGGCTTCGAAGTGTTCCTGGATGTCGGGATGCGATCTACAGCGGGCGTTCTCATCCCTCGGCAAAGTCCCCCAAACAGTCCGGCGTTCCCATCAGGAAGCCTGGCTAAGAGTAAACTAGTACCAGGATCCAGGATCCACCACCGTCTTGGTATCAAAGTCGCATGATGGCAAACTTCCCTCTGATGCACAATGTCGGCGACTGCCTGTGGTGGGGACGATCTGGGGGAACTTTGGCTAGGGTGACCTCAGGACTCCAAGAAATCACGATGGCTAAACCAGAAAATCACCAATAAAATGAAGATTATGCTGGGGCCGGCACAACCAGTGTGGACGAGCCATCCAAGTATGCAAGTAAATATATATATATATATGTACATATATGCAAATGTACATGTGTATGTGTATTTGGAATAACATACGAAGCCTATCGCTCGAAAGATTGAAACGAGTGAAAAATGTGGTAACCATTCACGATGATTGAGACCTACCCATCCAATTACCTCCTCTCTGATTTCGAATTTGCGGTTCAATAACTTGTTAAGAAGTCAAAAACAAAGCTTTAACACATCGAACACTTCCAAAGAATCACAGCAATTAACGAAAATAGTTTATTATAAACTAATTCTCTTTACGAAATAGATGTGAGCATCTAAGTAACGATATAGAAGGGAGCACTGGAAAGGAAACCCATAATAAAACAAGTAAAGCCTCTGAAGAACTGTTAAAGCACTTGGAAGACAGGCACACTCTCATCGCGATCATCATCACCGTCATTCTGAAACAGATCGGACGCTTCGTTCAGGGCATTTCCGGAAACAGTTGCACTTGCTGAGTCGAATTCATACGAGGATTCATGGGCAGCGAACGAGCAGTTCAGGAAGCTGCTGTTAGGACACTCTTCGTTTATAATGGCATATGCTTCGCTGTATCGATCCTCTAACTGACTATTGTTGAATATATCACTCTCTTCTAGTTGCTGTTCCGCAGAGTGTTCGACAAAACTTCGGTATGGTTCCTTCCGATTTTCTTCCGTGTTTTGATCGCATGCTAACACTTGGCTGCCGTATACATCAGCTCCTAGGAAAGCATTGGGTGAAAGCCTTGTGAAACTGTGTTGGTCGTTCATTTCTGATGGACTCCTTTGCTGTTCTGTATTGATGGCAGTGAACATGGTTGGTTCAGTGCTGTAGCTCATCATCATCGTATTTTGAGTGTTGTAGTGAACGTTGGACGAAATGAACCTTGGCAAAGATTGTGTAAAAGAAGCGTTCGGTCGTACGAAAAAGTTGTCCACTGCAGATGATTGTGACTGATTGAAATCAGATGGCTGAACACTGCTGTTCTGAGGGATGGCAGATTTTGAAGCTGATTTGCCATTTCGACGACGACGAGGAACTGGTTTCTCCAACTGTCCAAAGTTCTCCGGATTTCTTTCGGCTTCCCTCACACACAGGTCGCAACGTGAGAGGCGACATCGTCGGGCCACCGTGTCACGGCGCATTGAAGCCGGGCGCTGTCGACCGTTCTTTCGGAAGAATAAGTTACAGGCGCTGAAATAACACAGAGTTGGTAAATAAAACAGAACCTTAGCAAACGCTCTACATAGAGAAAGCATTACAAAAACTGCTTTTTTACTTAACGAGTGCCATTTAAAGCCCTCACTTAATGACTGTTAACATCATGCATTCTTTTCGGGACCGCTTGTTACCGACTGTAAATCGGTAATGTACGAACGCGAAAGGATTCCTTTTGGTGCAAACGCTATTTTCGAAATCGCAATGATTCGGTAATGCTTCATTCTTAGTGATAAACTAAACTAAATAGGTCGTCATTACTTCTGTACTCACTTGCATTCGCTTTTTCCGTCTGCGCTTCGCCTCCATGTGCTTGTAATCCTAGTTCCGCAGTTTGTGCATTCAATATTTTCGTTCACGACAGCCTAAAAATTGATAGCATCCAATTTTTCCACTGGCTGATCGGAAACCATGGACGTATGATTGCTGCAAGTGGTCGCTATCCAGTTAGTTCGTTTGAGCTACCTCCAGATGGAGAATATCCATCAGATTTGTGTTAATGTTGAATTTGCGAAGAATTGTGCACTTTTATATAATTCATAAACAAGCTCATTGTTCTGTCAAACGTTTGGTTTGGGCTTACGATATTGAATGTTCTTTATTTCTTCTGGGGAAAATTTTAGTCAATCTTGAGAGATACACAAAGCTCCCTCTGGCATGTCGCTTCAGTTTGGAAAGGGGGCATTAGGATTAATTTTCACTATCTTTCAAACAAATTATACCTATTATAACACTCAGAAAATTTTTATAATTGGCGGAAACAGATGTTAGATAAAATGACAGTTCAAATAGCAAAATAATCAATATGAACCTCTGTACCATATTCATTTATTCCACTGTTTACTACCTAACTGTGGCTGAAAGGTGCTCCTGGGTGTCGAAATAAGGCGTACAGTTGGGGTTTCATCTCGGTCAAGAGTGCCCCAGTGGAAGAGTTAGACATTTTCATTCAGATGCGCTAAGAGTATACTTATGCCACGGTAAGATTTGATGAGTTACTCTTTTTTACTACGTCGTCACCAAAGAGTTATAAATAAAGAGTCTTGCTGCAAAATGTGTGATGCTCTGCTTAGTGTCTGCTCGAAAAATTCAGTGGTCCACAAGATTACAAGGTGATATCACAGTCTACACAGCGCATGTTGTCAACCAACAAGCTCACGTAGGGAGATATAGTATCTCTTGGCCTTATGCCACGCAACGCTAACTCATAAGTGACAGTACTCCAATGCTGGAAATTACAACTGATTAGATATAAAGAGGTATTCTCCACCTGGTAGAGACTATTGTCTATCTTTAAATACTATCATACGTTTCTCACGACGGTTATATACTCTCCTGTTCAGTGTTCTGTTCACTACGTCTTAAGAAACTCATTTCGCTCATTAATGTGAATGTTTCTTAGCTAGCGACTAATATCTCGAAGAGATTGTGAAATCCAACCTCAGTGTAATTGCTGACAGAGACTGAAAATGTTTGCAACAATTAAACATATAAAAGAAGCAAACAGTAAGAATAATCACTCACTGTTTGGGACGGTTTATCTTCCAGGACATAACGTGCATGGGGACAACGAGGATTTCGTGAGGTTTTAGAAAACTGCAAAGGTTTTTGAAGTAAAGAATCGTGATCACGTGGTCTGTGAAAGTTATGAAAATTTCATGACCAATCTCCAGCTATTAATGATTACACTAAATTAAAATGGAACAACGAATATAGTGAACCTCTGAAAGAGCCTCGAAATAATATTAAAGCAAAAGTATTGACGGTCTACGAACAGCGATGTTCATGCAGAATCACTCGTTACTAAGAAATCATCACAGAGGATGACGGCGTATTTGATTTTCAGAGAAATCGGTGACCAATTAACAGTACACAACAGTGGAGCTCCCAACTGGGTGCTGAGCAACTCCTTATCGCGAGGTCTACCGCCTATTTCTTACTTAATTTTATATGAGCAGTCTTTCACATCTGTTGTGTGGATCCCAAAACCAGGACTGCTTGCATTCGATTCGATTTCCTCATACAAAAATTAAATTAACATTACGTATGAGCCCGCCCAGTTATGGATACCTACATGCACACCAGGAACTAGTGCCAAAAGGATTGATATCGTTCCTAAGCGAAAAGAGTCGAATGAATAGTACTGGCGTACGGCGAAACAAATGGTTCCCCAGCGCATACAACTGCGGTGGGGAACGAACACGCTATTGTCCTTTCCGGGGAGTAGCGCGTTCACCACCACACCACTCATCATTGAAGTTATATTTCACAGTGTATACCCCGCCGTTAAAAAGAGTAGGCAGTAAATAATAAATTAAAATTATCTCAGCATCATTGAAACAAATGGTATTTCTACTAGGCCCAACAATCCCAATGGGCACTAGGCTGCTAGTGCTGAAGATGGTACAGATATTTCTTTGAAGCGTACAATTTTGATCTTAGCCGTTGTCCACGTCCATTTTTCTCTTTTATGAATCACTTTTTAGTTTGGTGTTCGACATCGGATTAAAACATGGTTCAGATGACTCGTAAGCGGTCAAGCCGTCTGGTATGACGAAGTTACATCTAGCTACACATCGCTATACCCATAGAAAAGTAGTAATACTTCGGAACAAATAGAACAATTGGCCAAAGCATCCGATGAATAACAACCCTAACAAAAATTGTGAATCAGATCCCCATAACCAACAAAGGACTCTGTACTGATCACCTAATAATCGGCCGAAACATGCAAACGTCAATAAAGACTATGGCAGGTCGGAAGAGAAACCACCATATTTAATGCTTGAAAGGAGTGAATACTGGTAATACTGCGCAGAAAAAAAATAGGAGATGCGTAGAGACTGCAATCTGTCCGTTGACAAACATTATCATCAAGGAGATTTGGTAAGATCGGCAGTGATCGCTAGAAAATGCAAAGATACTGATTTTTGCTGGATGCAGAATACGGGGAATTCGATGATGATAACCTTGCCATTTCTGAAATTGAAAAACAATGCGGAGATAAGAGTGATGGCAATGCTCTTACTCACACTCACTTCCAAACCGCATTTTGTTACTCGTCCACACAGGTTCAAATTTTTTGCTAGCAAAGGAAGCAAGCTTCATGGCTACCAGAGTTGGCTACACTAAATTAAGTCCACTCACCTTCGAGCGTGGTGGGTTGGGCAGAACAGATGGTGGAGCTAGAGGCGCGGTGACTGTCGTCATCGTAATCGGATGGTTTGGAGCATAGTGTACATTAATTGGAGAAAAACTGAAAAACACGAATGCTCAACTCCCAATGCTGTAAATCTATCAATCACAAATATCCATTTTCTCTTCCAAAGGCGTGAAATTTGATTCAGTGCCAAAGTCATAATTTCCTTGTTTTTTTTACAGCGGCAGAGCAACACATATTCTGACTAGTTCGAAAATTACTTGTAATAAAGCTGAGAAATCGCTCTAAGTGTCGTTTCACTGGTAAATCTGAGCTTCAGGAAAAATTCTGAGCAGAAGACAGGGCTACATCAAAGCTTTTCCTGTGAGAAACTCACTATGATGAACGCTGCGTTGATTCCGTAACGCTTTGACATAGTTCATGGTTCGAAAGAACTGAAATAATAACTCAGCGAATGAGTTTGTTTAAAATAACTTTCAAATAGGGTTAGCCGCAATCATTATCTTGCCAGGGTTTAGGCAAACCCTGTTATTTGAAATGGCCCGTTCGAAGAAGCAACGGAAACCTAGCGTAAGTCTCATAACCTTATTTCATTTGGTCGCATTATGAGAGCGACGATGGGTGAGAGAAACAAATTAGTGCTTGCTTCTACGTATGTGTCTTCCAGATAGTTAATTCGAATGTTTTGAAGGTAGTGGTGCAAAGCAGCAGTAGAATGACGGTCTTTGACCGAATCAGATCTTTCGAGTCAGCGCCACCGACTCGCTGTCGTAACTGTACGGACAACTTTGTTACGCTTGCCGATGTACTAATTCATATTCGCGTACACGAACACCACTCTTACATCTATGCTGGCAATACCCTCGCTCTGCATGGCCATGTACAACTGTGCGCTTCTCCATTCTGAGAAAATTTACACCGACCAGTTCCTCTTCTTCGCTAGAGTTCCTCATTCTTGTTAATCCATGTTTATCCCACTCACAGCACAACTACTCCCTAAGGAAACGTATCAGCCTTCATACAATATGTAACATTTCGTGTAACGGCAGAACTCAATAGCTTATTTTAATCGTCGTCTAGTTTCTCACGCAGCGATGCGTTATATGAAAGAGCAGTATATTTGGCTTTACATTAATGCCCCAGCTTCATATCCCTTCTAAATTATCAAATTTATGCTCTTTTTCTATGGGTAATGACTTTTCCATACGCTGATCCGCTGATCCAAATGTGGTGCTCTACGAGCCCACTTCTTATCCACTAAGTGAACTTATTAACACGAGGAGAACATCGCAGTGCACATGAACGTGTCTGAACAATGCAGCTGTCTTTGAATGTCACCTCTGTTTCCTACCAAATCATTTCCTGTTTTAGTAACTCAGTTGACCGTTGCTAAATAACTCTCTTTGAAACATTTCTAGTACTGAGCGGATAAATTTTTGCCTAACACGGAGAATCAGTTGTCTATAAGGAAAACACCGGCGAGGCGGCGTTTCAGATGAACCGCTACAAAAACAGCCGGAAGCAGAAGATGCTGCAGTAATTGTAGGCGGCGTCATTCCAGCGACACTATGGAACATCTGCTTGAAAACTATCGTTTTCAAAGCTACAAATATTTCACATCTCTGTTTTTGTTGAGGAGGAACTAAACCATGTTTTCAGTATGAGCCAAACTATACTACAGCAGGTGATTCTGAGAAGGCGACCATGAGCCCTTAAGTTGCTGAACGCTCTATTGATGACCATGATTATGAGACAGAATGAGGTTAAACCGGCCAGATCACCGAAATGAAGTGACGTGAAGAACACAGATAACTCGTCTATTAAATCACTGAACCACTTCACAACATCGCTTTCAGCCGAAAAGTTAGACGAATTTGATTAAGAACATGGATAACGATACGATTCATCCAAGTCGGTGGTGGTTCTATTGATGTGAGAGTTTCATCCTCAACAGGACTAGTGAATGTATTGGTTTATCTACGAGCATTTTTTCTAACACTGCAAAAATTGGACTACCTGATATGTACGGAGCTGGGTGATTCTCATTGTAGTCATCGACATCAAGGGGCGATCCGTATTCATTGGGTCCACCTAAAATAAAACTTTCCAATCGCAGCTTGTAATGGATCCCTGTCAGGATTTGATAAAGGTGGCATTTTATGATCTCATGGAGAGTACAGAGCTACATTTTCTTGAAAGCACCGAGACTGTCGGGCAGCTTCATAACGCAGATCGAGATGTATGGCTCACACTAAAACTTCGTTATGGATTTTGAAAATACCATTAGCAAGAGTCGGCTTTCGTCGCAGTGTGTATTCACCACTACTTCGACAACTGTTTCGCTCTTAGGAATAGAAATGTCGCAAAAAATGCCTGCAGAATAGAGGAAGCAGCAAAAGAATTAGGTAATAGGTACCTGGGAATGATTGCTGCATGTCCATAACGAGACCGCCGGAATGGCTCGATGGAAGCTCGAAAATGAGACGTATGAGGAAACCAGACTTAGCGGAATCAATGGAACTCATCATGAATGAACGTGGAGATGGCGATGCCGCTTGTCACAACAAGATGACTCGCATCAACAGTTCTCATCTCGAATTCTCAACGATGAAAATCTCAAAAAATGCTGTAAGTGGTGACAGTCGCCGAAGGCGCACTTCTTCCGAACGTCCAGGCCGTTCTTCCGAAGAAGAAGACTAGTGGAGAAAAGGAATAAGTCCAATTCGCACCAAGGTATCAATACATACCTTAAGTCCACCATCAGGTGTGAATACATTCTGTTAATCGAAAACGAACGAATATTCTGAATTGTGACGTTGTGCATTGTTGTTGCTGCTACTTTTAGAAAGCTGAGAAGATATACTCAACGTTTAGACTGCTATTAATGCATTCACATCCATTCAGAACTCCTTTCAACAGCATCGCTCCTCAAAATTTTTTTTGTGAGCACTAGTTCACTAGCAATACTTTGGCAACATCGTCTCAGAAAATATTTTAAAGATGGTTCGGAGTTGAGATCGATAGATTAGCTAGTTTGGTTTTTTACACGAATGAGAAGTCCCATTCTCCCTAACTTGCGGCTCGTGCAGCAGGTAACTAATTTACTTGGGGTATCCTGAAAGCAACAGATTTCAACGACTACGTGTCACGAACAGAAAGGTTAGATTTCTTTCTTCAGAAATAGTCAGAAAAAAAAGAACTCATGTCAGCTCTTCAAGAACACACGTAACTTGTCGATCCAATCTGTTCTCAATAAAAAGCTAAACGAGTGATTGCTGATAGCACCTACAATAACACGGCTCAGAGAAAGGACAAACAAGGGACACATGATGTGGGGCTAACGCATCAGCCGCCTGAAGAAGTAGTAGCGTGTCCGGTCTCCACCGCAGACAACAGCGGTTCGGAGTTTTCCAAAAACATCTCAGCGTCATTATAGAGAGCAAGTGTTTTTGCTTGATCAGTTGCAGTTTTTGCAGATGACGTTCAGAAGCCAGGTTGGAATGGGATGGGGTCCCATGACAATTTATAGTACCAAAGTTAGACCATACGCCTGATTCTGTTTGTTTTTCACCGGATGGAATGATTCGATAAAACGGCATGAATCTTATGAAAGCGATCACAGTAGGGAACTATTGTGCAAAATCGATGAATTCCTATGAAGACAGCAGCGTAGCTGTTAAGATATGACCAACAGAAAATCTATCAAGTGTTCCAGGAAAAGCACTCCAAGTGCCCATGAAGAGAAATGAGCTCTGGTACTAATACAACATCATTTCCTACCCATAATGCAGCAGAATATATGTTGTGGAAATGGTCGCGTATTCGAAGGTAACCTTAAGGAGTCAAACTTGTCGAAATGCCTTGTCAACATTATCCAAAATCATGCAGACTATGCTTTCGTTGTCTAGTTAGACCACAAAAAGAGATTAGCTGGTACATACAGTTTTAAATTTTTGAGTTCCTGACGAACGTATGCAACTAAGCAACCAGTTTTCGTTCATTTTGAGGCTTCAAAACGATGCTGATTCATAACTTCTATGATGCTGAGATATTTGCAAAACTCCGGACCGTAAGTGTATGCGGTGGAGATTGAACATGCTATTACCCTTTCCGAAGCTAACGTGTTCATTACCACTCCTTCCGCGTCCTTCGTTTCGCCTGTCTCTCAGCTAGTTCTATCGATCACTGCCATCAGCAATCACCTACATCCGGAGTTTTACAAATATCCCAGCATCTTAGAAGTTATATTTTGGAACATAACCTGCCATTAAAAAGAGTAGACAGTAAATAAAAAGGTTAAGGTGATTCTGATTTACTTCGAAAATAAACGCACACCCTGAATTTCTTGCTTTCCCTCTTCTCCCTCGAAACACACATGGCTTAATGGCCCTAATCGTCATTGAATACATATCCTCCAAAAAATTCTTAAGCACAAAAACTCCTTATCAAAGAATTCATCCAATCAAATGGATAGCTACTTCGCAGACGCGTTGGTCACACGGATATTCCCACCAATGAGGACCCAGAAGCTTTCTCGAATTGTAGTGCGTAACGATCGCTTTGTTCATAAATGCGTCATTTTCTTGTTCAGCAATGGAAGGTTGTTATACAACATGCATTTACTCCTATACAAAAACACAATACAACAGTAGCTGACATTTCGGCGGTATCGTTCTTCTCACAGTACAAAAGAGCGCGGAACGGTATGTGATATGCAATTTACCAGGTCAAACGTTTCAATAACACATACAATGCTTATCTTCGTACCCTTCCAGGCTCTGAAGAAGACGTCACTGCCGGAACGTCGGCTAGTGTTGTACTGTGTCTTTGTATGGAAGTAAATGTATGCTGTAATAACAACCGCGCAATTGCTGAACAAGAACACTACGCATTTATAATCCAACACCGAGGTTTATAGAAAGCCGATCCCGGGATCACTTTGTTAATCAGCGACTAGCTGCCCTCCATATAAGCGTCTTTAAGAATGCTGAACACAGCCGGTAGTACTACTCAATGGAAAGCACTTCGCACACATGAAATGGCTGGGAGCAACATAGTGCGGCCAATTGAGGATAGTCTCTGCTTAGCCCTGAACTAACCAACTTTAACGTCTGCGACTTTACACTTTCAAAAATTGTGATCCTACGATGACCACCCAGCACTCAGACCACTTGTTTATATCAAAGCAAACCGCCACAAATCGCCACTCCTTATGTCATCGAATCACACCTCATTCATTACAACTTTCACTACAGTAGAGTGCATAACACTATAACACCACTCTACTACAACATCCAACCATTTATTCAATGAGCAAGCAACAATGAGTACAAAATTTACCAGTTGTGGCCCTAAAGAGGGCCGTTAGGATAAAAGCAAATTAGAATGGCATGCAGCCGCTTAGCCTCGTTCTCCTCTAATGCGGCGGGCTAGTTGGATGTCCTTCGGCATGATAGTGACGCGTTTCGCATGGATCGCACACAGGTTCGTGTCCTCAAATAGTCCAACGAGATAAGCCTCTGAAGCTTCCTGAAGAGCCATCACAGCCGAGGACTGGAAACGTAAGTCAGTCTTGAAATCTTGCGCAATCTCTCGCACAAGACGCTGGAATGGCAATTTGCGTATCAGCAACTCCGTCGATTTCTGGTAGCGACGAATCTCCCGCAGGGCTACGGTTCCAGGGCGATAGCGATGAGGCTTCTTCACACCACCGGTGGCCGGTGCCGACTTTCTTGCAGCCTTCGTGGCTAGCTGCTTGCGTGGCGCCTTCCCTCCGGTCGACTTGCGCGCGGTCTGCTTGGTACGAGCCATCTCGAATCGGTTGCTCGCGAACGATATAGTGCCTGCGGCCGTCCCTTTAATAGAGCAAAGCTGGGGGGTGGGGCCTACTTGCTACGGTTACATCGTCTGGGGCGGCTTGGCATAGCTATGGTGCTACAATGGACCGCTTTCGCGTATTTGGAAAAGTTAAGACGATTTCCAAGCAGAACGAGAGAGAGAGAGAGAGTAATGGTAATCCACAGCAGTACGTCAATAACACGGGACTGCGCGAATTTAATAGAAAACAATGAACTTGTTTGCGCTTTTACCGCTTTAAAATATTGGTTAGCTAAAAATTGAGATGGATCTCTCTCATGGGTAATAATAAAGCCGTTTTATTATGACAGAGGCTCCGTGAAATGGTTGGGTTTATTCCGACAGCGCTTCAGTTACGATTGTGGAAAGCTCGAAAGATTCGCTATAGGAAGATTCCTAAGAACCCAAGTAGAAGCTTTTAATTGTCACAGGAATTGACTAGAAAGTCTCCGATAGTCCCCTGCTTGCTGAATAGGTTACTGTGATTTCAGGTATTTCAGCGCAAACTTTGTAATTTGACGCGCTTTCTTTTAAAGCCATGTTGGCCCCAACCCAGTTGCCCGTAGTCGCTATCGATTGACTATAGTGCGAAAGGTGCTATTTATTCAGTAAACACTACTTAAAACGGTGGTTATAGGAAAACACGTAAAAGAAAATCTTGGCAAAACTCCATTTGTTTTCGACTCTTTGACAGATATGAAGGAAGTTGTGGTTCATTTATTTTGTGTTGAAAGTTTCATCCCTTATCCTTTAGTATTTGACCCTCGAGATAACTTCGCTTAGAATCCATTAGCAGATTTTCAAACATATACCAACCCAGCTATTGCAACTGCGTATCTTCCAATGAACATCGCTCTTCGTGTTGATTCCTGTTCAGTGTAACTTCCACTGTACGACGCTAATCTACGGCAGTGCCTTACGTCCATTTTTGTGCGTTACATTTCCCTAGAAAACACATTGCAGCGACCTGAGTGCCCGCTTCACATTGAAAGTCATGTCACTTGGCGACCCGCCAGACATCGACGGCGTGGCTTGGCGACCCGCCAGACGCCGACGCCGACGCCGACGCCGCAGTTCCGCGCCAAAATTCAAACGTGCCGGATCTCGTGCGATATGTGTGCGACCTAGTGCCACATCGAAAAGTGGGTCAAACAACAAGCCTGGCTCTTTACGAGCACTGGAGCTGACCAACAACTTATCTGCATTTCCAACTGATAGGAGTTTGTTGAGATATAAAGTTCTGCAGTAGCAAACGCTTCAGCCGCTATTTCTATTTATCAGAGTTCAAAAATGATCGTATTAACAGGAGTCCTCAATCGGCCAAATATTCTCATCAATTCTCCGAAAACGCTGGTGTGCGGTGTCGTTCAATAACAGCTGAGTTCAAGAAAAACCACCGGTAACATTCAAGGGGAATACATTACACCGTACCGTTCGGTGAGAACTAGTATAAAGACCTATGACTGGAGATGTAGGGCGAAACGCCACAGATCTGCGGTTTTCCACGACAAACGTCAAACACCTCAGAGCGTGTAAGCTCGCGAAGTCCACACTAACAGTCACTGCACGGGCCTTGATCTCAATGTGTGTTCCCGAAGTTTCTGTTAAACGGAAGCAATCAGCACACCACATCAATTCACACGCAAACCAAATTTGCGGGAGAACTGCTTGCCACCATGAACAAGAAAGAACCTTGGTGAAATCATACACTCATTTATTTTGATGCTTGCTCTCTACATACATAAATACACTTTATTCCAGCAGAAAAAAAAACAAAACGCCTCCCAATCATTCGAATTGTGGCCCTAAAGAGGGCCGTTGGTTTGGGTGTGGTTGGAGATAGTCTCCAATGACTCGCCTTATCCACCGAAGCCGTACAGCGTGCGTCCTTGGCGCTTGAGGGCGTAAACGACGTCCATGGCGGTGACAGTCTTTCTCTTAGCGTGTTCGCAGTAGGTGACAGCGTCACGAATCACATTCTCCAGGAACACCTTCAGCACTCCACGCGTCTCCTCGTAGATCAGTCCAGAGATACGCTTCACACCACCGCGACGAGCCAAGCGACGAATGGCCGGCTTGGTGATGCCCTGGATGTTGTCCCTGAGCACTTTGCGATGGCGCTTCGCTCCTCCTTTTCCGAGTCCTTTGCCTCCTTTTCCACGACCAGACATGGCGACAGCACGACACTGAAGAATGACATGCAGACCGCCGCCCGAGTGTCGCTTATATAGACTTCGGCGGGACCGCACGCTGCAACGCCGGCTCTATAAGTGGGCGGACTATCGCCATTATCCCATCGTCCGGGCGGTCAGACTTTGTCCTGTAGTTACGAAGGAATTCGCTGATATCTTTATTTGACCCTTAAAAGAATATTTGAGCAAATATTTATTTTCGGTACCCTCCGACTTTTCTCGGGGACGTGAACAATTTGGTCATTTGCAGTCTCCTCGACTCCACTCCACAAAGATGTCACTATGTCATAAGGAAATATCTCATCACAGCAGTAGTGATCATAAGAATGTTAACCCCTTCACCCGCATATGGACATCATGGTATCCACAGGGAATTGGACCAAACGACCATATGGACACTATAGTATCCATCTCGGGATTAGTATGTTCCAAAGATTTCTCGCCGGATTATGTATACTCATTTGACTACCTACACTTAATAATTTACAAAAAGACGCCCTGCCGGAGGAGTTCATGCTGCCGCGAT